TTGGTCATTTTTTTCTTAATAGAATCTATACCATGGGTTGTACCTTAGTTTAACTTGGTTTAAGTTCCATTGTTTTACCTTGACGACCAGCATAGCAACTAACAATAGTTAATTAAACAGAAGAGAGGTCACATTGGTTTTGAAGTTAACAATTGTTAGAATTGGCTGAACTATAGTTAAACGCCCCAGTGTGGCCACAGCCAGTATCTAGTTAAGACTAAACATTACGTATACTAACTTGTAAATTACATTAATTCGACAGATTAAATCAAGATATTATGTCTGTTGAAACATAATCACATTTTATCATGACAATTATTTCATTATTTTTGGAACCAAACGAAATTATAACAAGTTTTATAATGAGACGCAAGTTTTAATTTGTTCTCAGAATCTAACAGCTGCAATCGAGACGAAGAACCAGACGAAAAACCGACCCAAATAAAAGTATCCCACAATTCATAACTTCGGAAAACTTTGTTGCAGTCATAATAGGAAATTAATGTCAAATACCTGATATAAATCTACTATTTTAGGATTCCGTCTTTTGGTATTAATAAGACGGCGTGGTAGCAGACTGTTCAGTTAAGAGTCGTTCGCCGGCGTTTTTGGACGATAAAAAATCAAATAACATCCCAAGTTCACTTAACTTACCGTCTATGGCTTAACCAGTAATGTAGCTATCCAGGATTATATTCTTTCCAGCATGGTTTTAAGTTAAGTAGGTTATATGTGAGGGTTTTTAGAGGGAAATTCAGTTCAGTTCACTTCAGCCTTTGCGACAAGAAACATGGCCGACATGCTGAACAAATCCAACACTCTCATTGGTTAATCTATGTCACGTGGTATATGAGACAACGAATTTACGGTCAGTGGAGAACGCATTTGGTGAAAAGTAGCATAGAGTCAAAGTGAAACCAAAATGGCGGCCGCAGTTGGAGAAGATTTTCGTAATCTTTAAAAAGTGTCTCATTTTGGTTTGAAATTTCGTCTTTTTCCACCCTTGAGGATAGGAATCATGATAAGTTGCGCGCGTTTGGCATCAATTGGGTCCGGTATGTCGAGGTATAGCTCTTTATTGCGTCCTGCTTCAACGATTTCTCGTGTCATGTCAAGTCACGTGCAAGGAAGAAAGACTATCATAACAAAAATACAGTCTTCAAATATGTCCCAAGGCATTAATGATCCTAACAACCACAATTGGAACTTAGTTTATGAAGGGCCACTCTCCAAATCAGTCAAATATGTCAAAGGTTTCTCTTTGACTACGGCTGCTGCCTCCATCGCTGGTTCTCCAATCCTGGTCTACTTTGGCAAACAAAGTGTCCCTATTGTCGGCAAACTGGCCATTGCTGGATTGCTCTGTATTATTGGTAACTCAACGACCGTTCTTTTGCATTGGTTCTCTAAAGCTTATGTCCATAAGATGTACTATGATTCAACGCGTCAAGTTTTCTCTGCAGAGACTTCTTCGTTTCTGGGTAGACTACAAAGAACAGATTTTGAGGTGAAGGATATTATCTTCCCTCAGGAAGAGAGTGCATTTTCGACATTCGAAGCAAAGGGAAAGAAATTTTTTCTTCATCAAGAAATGGTTGAAGCGCAACAAGTTTTACATTTCCTTCGTGAAGCACAGATGTAGGGTGGAAAAAATGTTGTGAAGCACATAACAGATGTAAAAAAAAAACTGTTATTGACTCTTGCTTAGGGACCGTTCATTATTTAACTGGGTGAGGGGGCTGGGTGAGAAAAGGAGGGGCCTCAAAATTTTTTCATGTAAAAAAGGAGGGGCCCTGGAATTTGTTAATGGATTTAAGGGAGGGGACTTGAAATTTCAGGTGAAGGTCTAAAGATAGTGAAGGGGGGTCTTGAAAAAGATAACTTTCTTTGTTGGGGGGCCCCTAAAAAGATGGGCGCCTTTTCCAATTTCTCACCAAGCCCCCTCCCCCAGTTAAATAATGAACGGTCCCTTAGGTGCAAGAGGAGGTGAGGCAAATAGAGACACAATGCAAAATGTAACTCCTGAGCACCCCACCCCAGCCTCATACCTCCAAATTTTTTTTTCCAATTTTCTTTACGATCTTACCTAAAACTCCTGGCATGAATAGTCCTCCGTAGGCCAAGTTCACATGTTCGATTTTTAGGTACCAAACTTATTTAGATCAAACTTAATATCTAAAATGGTTGTAATTTTGTACAAAATATGAACAATAAAGAGCTGAAGACATCGAGAAGCTGTGAGTTTTATTAATATGTTTCCGTACGAGATACGACATTCTCAATCCCTCTCGCTAAATTAGCACATATTAAAATTCTAGAACGATAACGAACCTCTATGGCCCGGGGGCTACTCCACCAGGATTTGGGTAGGGGTGTTCTGCTGGGATTCTGAAAGGGTTACTCTGTTTATGACAAAAAAACTCAATTTTGTAGACGCTGTTTATGACAAAAGATATAATTAATTGTACTGAGTTCCTGTTTCAATTATCATGTCATCTCGCGTATC